TAATTTTTTGTTTGTTTTTTTCCTGAAAAAGAGACGGCCAAATAACTTTGGGAACCTCTGCTCTAGCTAGACCTGAAATGCCAATCTTTCAGTTAGCAACTGAGCACCCTAACTGGCTTTTGTAAGGTTTTATTGTGCATTAGCTGGGCACAGGGTTTCTATTTCAGATCTTCATTTTTGCATTTAACAATGTAAGCCACTCCTCAAACCTCCCAGTAGCTCCCCCTGTTCCCCACCCCCATTTTTGGGCTCTTTTTCATGTAGGACATTATCTTCTCCTTCATCCCAGGTAGCACCTGTCTACCCTGGTGGCATAGTGGGTTACACATTGCAAGGTCAACAGTTCAAAACCGCCACCAGCTCCATGGGAGGAAGATGAGGCTTCCTACTCCCGTAAAGAGTGACCATCCCAGAAACCCACGGGGCAGTTCTACCCTGTCCTATAGGGTTGCTGTGATTCAGCATGGACCTGACGGCAGGGTTTCCCCCTTCCTTTCTTTCCCCTTCCGCCTCTGGTATCCATCAAAGTCTGTTTCTTTTGGTCTGAGAAACCTTTATCTTGATTTTTTTTTTTAACCTTTCATAACATGATCTAAAAAATATTTGCCCTTTTGTGATCGACGACCTTCACTCAGCACAACGTTTTCCAAATCCATCCACGGCACGAGGTGCCCCGCAGTTTCGCCACCCTCCTTTAACATTCCAGTGTGTGTGTGCCAGAGTTCCTCTCTCCAGGTCCGGTCTTCCACGGCTGGCATTGAGGTGGTTTCCTCCTTCTTTCTGTCGGGAACGTGGACGCTCGCATCTTAACCCCATCTGAACGTCACCCATGGAAGACGCCCCTCCTCCCTGCCTTCGGATTCTTGAGCCCAAGCGTTAGCTCTTTCCAGTCTGATCCGCCCCCCCACTTCCTCCCTCTCAGGCAGAGAAGCAGCGGCTCGAGGAGGCCCTGAACACGGCGCAGGAGGAGGAAGGGAGCCTGGCAGCAGCCAAGCGGGCTCTGGAGGCCCGGCTGGACGAGGCCCAGCGGGGGCTGACCCGCCTGGGGCAGGAGCGGCAGGCACTGAACCGGGCTCTGGAGGAGGAGGGGAAGCAGCGCGAGGCCCTCCGGCGGGGCAAGGCTGAGCTGGAGGAGCAGAAGCATCTGCTGGACAGGACTGTGGACAGACTGAACAAAGAGGTGGGCTACTGGCAGCCTGGGCGAAGGAACTCAGAAGTGGGCTGTGTGTGCTCTGACCCAAACCAACTCTTTACTGAGGTGGCTGTGACAGCCTCCTGCCTCTCTTCCTCTGCTTTTTGAACCTTCCCCCATGCCCTTTATGGTCTTGCTCCTTGAAGAATCCCCCCGGGAGGGATATTTTTCACTTTAAAGCCTATAAGCCAGTGGTTCTCAACCCGTGGGTCTTGACCCCTTTTGGGGGGGTGGGTTGAGTGACCCGATTCCTCACAGTAGCAAAATTATAGTTTTGAAGTAGCAATGAAAATAAGGTGATGGTTGGGGGCCACCACCGCATGAGGACCTGCAGTGGCAGCGTGAGGAGGCTGAGAACCCTGCTGTAAGCCCTACACACAGGCATCTTCATCGATCGCGTCCTGTCTTGGTGGAGAGGAAGAAGAAAGCAAAAAGGGAAATAAGTTGTTGGGGGGCGAGGGGGAGGGTCTCCTCCCAATCTCTTACCCCCGCCCCTTTTTCCTCCTCCCGATCGCTTCCTTGGTAAAATAAGAGCGGCTGGTGGCTTTTGATGGGTGGCAGGCCATCGTACAGTTGGCAGGAGGGTCTTTCTCGGTGGTGTCTCATGACAGTTGACATCCTAGGTTCTCTGGAATCGAGGTTCGTTAAGGCTTGCTTTGTGTCAGGCACTGGGCGAAGTCTTTTCCGTACCTTGATGAACTAATGGCACCGTGTGCCCAATCCCGTGAACGCACGCAATTCTCACCACCACCTTGTGAGGTCGCTGTCATTCTTAGTGGCTGTTTTACAGGTGGAGAGCTGAGGCCCCCAAAGGATAAGTCACTGGCCTCTTCTCACACAGCTGGTTGGTGGCAGAACCGGGACTTGAACCCAGGCAGCCTGGTTCAGGAACGAGCAGGCTTGGGACTCAGGGAGACTCTTGGAATATGTGAGTTGAGAAGGCAGGAGCATCTGTGCTGAGAAAGTGTTGCTCTACTTTCAGCTGGAGCAGATTGGGGGGGACTCTAAACAAGCCCTGCACCAGCTCCAGGCCCAGCTGGAAGATTATAAGGAAAAGGCCCGGCGGGAGGTGGCAGACGCCCAGCGCCAGGCCAAGGATTGGGCCAGCGAGGTTGAGAAGGCCTCTGGGGGACTGAGCCGGCTGCAGGAGGAGGTAGGAGCTGAAGAGTCACCCCTCGGTGGCAGGAGGGTGGGAACCATCCCCATGTCCCTGGTCTGAAGAGGTCATTGGTTGTCTTTTTGTCAAATCTGTGGCTCAGTTATCCTGGGAGCCTGGTTGAAGTATAACGGCTTGCGATGACATAGTAAAGTTGGGGGTGGAGTGGTAGACCACTTGGGTACAGACATTGGCCAAACTGCACCCAGTGCCACCGTTCAGTTCATAATCTCTGGGTGTGGGGCTCAGGGTCAGCCCAAGTGTTAACAGCTCCCCAGGTGCTTCCAACGTGTGTAGACATTTTTAAGACGTTAGGTTGAGCTGCTTTTGGTCTCAATACCGTTTGGCAGTTCTAAAGGGTATCAGCGATAAAGACTACTTCTCTCCCTGGGGGCAGATGCGCGCCTCCACCCCCACCCCCACCCCGTCCCGCAGCCTCTGGCTTCTCACTCCCGGCACTGCAGCTTCTTGCCCCTTTGCTCAGGTCCAGCGGCTGCGGCAGGCCTTGCAGGCGTCCCAGGCTGAGCGGGACACGGCCCAGCTGGACAAGGAGCTGCTGGCCCAGCGACTGCAGGGGCTGGAGCAGGAGGCAGAGAACAAAAAGCGCTCCCAGGACGACAGGACCCGGCAACTGAAGGGCCTCGAGGTGAGGACATATCTGGCTGAGCGGTGGGGGTGGGGGTGGGAGATGGGGGGAGGACTGGTCCTGGCACAGGTGGGGCCCTCCTGTGGGGAAAGGAATGCAGACACTCCTTCTATACTAAAACCTGAAAACTCACTGCCAGCAAGCGGCTCCCAGCGCATAACGACTCTATCGGACAGGCGAGACTTGCCCCGGAGGGTTGTCGCTCTTCCACTGAAACACATGCTACATCTTTCTCCCGGAGCAGCTCTTGCGGGTGAAGCTGTGGCCTTTTGGTGCATCCTTGAGCCCTTTCACCACAGCGCCCCAGCGCTCCTCCTGCTCTCCTAGGGACTGGCCACTGACAGCCCACAGCTGATGGGTCTCATTTGGCTGTGATGTTCACAACAACATTGACTTGACTGCCCCGTTTAGACACGAGGAGCCCTGGTGGCATAGTGGTTATGTGGTGGGGGTGGGGGTGCTAACCACGGGTCAGTAGTGAGAAACCACCGGCCGCTCCGAGGGAGAAAGCCGAGATTTTCTGCTCCTGCAAAGAGTGACAGGGTCTCCTGAGGCACAATAGCAATACGAGTTCCTCGGTTCCGTCTGTGCTCCTGGTTACTGGGCTAGCTGTGGGCTGGAGCATGCTATCCGTCTGTAGGCTCCTGTAGTTCACCAAGACAGCTTATGAGGAGAAGCCCTTGACGATGATCGAAGCCAATGGCTGGATGTGAAATTCAAGCTAGACCTGGACTTTGCTAATTTGCCATACCTGTGCATGGGAAGGCCAAGATCACCCAGGGCAGTGCCACCGTGCACTACATCACTTGCAAGAATGCCATGTATGGTGAGACACAAGAAGAGAAGATTCAGGCAGACAGCCATGAAGTACCAAATCATGGATTTCCGCGTGCTACAACCCTGACCATGACAAGGGGAAGCCTCAGAACTTGGAATAGTTGGCTGGACAAACAGTTGTCTTTGTTTCCAGGCAAATTCTCCTGGTTTGCAAGGGGAAAGTTCACCTCTGTGGACTTGCTCACCTGTGATGCCTTAGACCGGAATCGCATGTGTGAGGAGGCCGGTGCCTGGGCGAGTTCCCCGGTCTGAAGGCTTTCATGTGCCCCTTGGAGGCTTTGGAGGGACCAGCTGTGTCCATGCAGTCTGATCTGCAAGGGGCCCACCAGCAGCATGGTGACCCGGGGGCAGCCAGAGGGGCTGAGCAAGAGGCAGAGCTTGTGCTACTTGCTTTGCTCCACCCTGCCCTCAGGGGCCTTGTCCACGATCTTCTTTGCTCTTTTCAATAAATAGCATTTAGGTTTAAAAAAACACACCATAGGGTTTCAGAAACCCACAGGGACAGTTCTACCCTGTCCTATAGGGTCACCAAGAGTCGGAATTGATTCCACGGCAGGGAGTTTGTTTGGTTTAGAAACATACAGATTCCTCATTAAAAAAAAAAAGATTTCTGGCTTCTTTGGGTAACGCTGGGAGAACATGCGGTCACTCTGAGCTCTCTGCCCTGCATTTTCGGCATGGGGACAGTTGGCGGGAACAGAGTGGTGTGGTGACTCCCCGTTAGGCTGAGCAATGCTATTCATCTGGCTGCACGCGGCTGTGATGAGCATTGTAACTGCCGTAGCGGCGGCAGCAGCCCTGAGACTCGCTTCTCTGAATCATCCTATGGGAAAATCACTCTTGCTCTCTGCGTGCAACAGATGAGGAAAACTCAGGCCAAGAGGGAAGCAATTTGCCCATGGTCTCCTTAGTGGTTCTGATGTTTAAACCTGGGCAGTCTGGTTTCAGTCTCTGCTTTTAACTTCTCTGTGGCACTGCCTGGGTTGGGCGTGTGCGCCCTCCCCCGTCTGTACTCTGGAGCTTCAGTTTCTGACCCTCTCCACTTCAGCCTTGGCCCAGGCATTTGGGCTTCTGTACTCCCCGTCGGGAAACAAAACTCACTGCCATCGAGGCGATGCCGACTCAGAGAGACTATCGGACAGGCTAGAACTGCCCCTGTGGGTTTCTGAGACCGTGAGTCTTTATGGGAATAGAAAGCCTCATCCTTCTCCCATGAAGCGCCTGCTGGTTTCAAACTGTTGGCGTTGTAGTTAGCAGCCCAGTAACCACTACACTACTCCCAATAAGGAATGGATTCTGAGGTTTGTCTTTCATGCAAAGGGCACTAATGAGGGCACACCTCACTCCTCCCTTTTAATGCCATACCTGGCCAGCAGAGGGCACTAACTCTATGCTGGCTTTTAGCAGGGGCTGGGATTAAGAGGTTGTGGAGATGAGTGTTACGGTCTTGAAAACTCACAGGGGCAGCTCTATCCTGCCCTGTAGAGTCTCTCTCTATGAGGTGGCATCGATTAGATGGCAGGGAGTTGGGTTTTTTCAGTTGAAGATGAGAGAGAACATCTGTGGAGGCTGGGGTCTGATTGTCTCATGGTCTGGCATTTGGGGTAGTGTTAACCTGTTTTTCCTTTGGCTGCAGGAAAAAGTCTCACGGCTAGAAGCAGAGTTAGATGAAGAGAAGAACACGGTGGAGCTACTGACGGACCGGGTCAATCGAGGGCGGGACCAGGTAACCGCCTCGTTACCTGAGCCCGTCTGTATCTGTTTCTGGCTGTAGAATCTGCCCTCCCAGCTTTTACAGTCTGGAGAGCCCTGGCTATAGAATCCATACGTGGGTGGCTCTACCTCAGGGTACTGTCTGCTTTGGGAAGGGCCAGTGGGCTTTCTTGGGTGGAAATGATAGGAGGCAGGTGTCCTGGTGGCCCAGGCTACTCTTCGTCCTTCTTTGGCTCAGAAGGGACGCCAGTTGCTGGTGAGACTAAGAGGCACACACTGTTCTTTGGGCTCCTCCCCATGAAATTGGCTGTGGTTTCTTAATTGCTTGGACAATATTGGGGCTTGGGTTCAGAGACCCTCCCATAGTTACCCTGCTGCCCTTGCTCCAGCTGCGGTTTGTCTGCGGTCTCCCCAAGTCTGGTTCCTTGTACCTGCCCCAACTAGGTGGACCAGCTGAGGACAGAGCTCTTGCATGAGAGGTCTGCTCGGCAGGATCTGGAGTGTGATAAAATCTCCTTGGAGCGACAGGTGAGGGGATAGGGAAGGGAGTCCCAGTCCCATGGTAGAATGGCCATGGAAGGGACTGGGAGTGGAGCGCCAACCATGGGGCCTTCCTGTCTCTCAGAACAAGGACTTAAAGGGCCGATTGGCCAGCTCAGAAGGCTTCCAGAAACCCAGTGCCAGCCTTTCCCAGCTTGAATCCCAGAATAAGGAGTTGCAGGAGCGGCTGCAGGCTGAAGAGAGGTGACACGAGCTTGTGCTACCACCCCTCGTCCCCCTCTTTGTGTTCTTCTCCTTTGGGGCTTCCCCACCCCTCTCCCTCAGACAGGGCCAACTTGGCGGGATCTCTTTTTCCTTGATTGACAGCAGAGGGAGTGGTAGGAATGATCTCAATCTCCCCAGTTCTGTGTTCTGCCCCGGATTCTTCCCAGTTTAATGGTGGGGTTTGGGACCGAGGGGAACCCCTGGATGCAGTAGGGGACCCAGGTGAGGGTTCCCTTAGAAATGGCATCAGCCATGAACATCCCATTACCCCGTTGCTGTAGGGACAAGACGGTTCTGCAGTCCAGCAACCGGAAGCTGGAGCGGAGAGTTAAAGAGCTGTCCATCCAGATTGATGATGAGCGACAGCATGTCAATGACCAGAAGGACCAGGTAAGGACAGCCACCCAGGGCCAAGCAATCGGGTGGCAAGCACGCACTGTGTATTTACTTGAAAGCAAGGACAGCTCTCATTTTCTGTCTTCTGAACTTTGGTAATGAAAATAAATAAACAAACAAACAAACAAATAAATAAATAATAAAAAAAGAATAAAATAAGCAAGCACCAAGAGATGAGATAAGGAACAGCTCAGAAACTGGGCTTTCTGAAAAACTATTGCATGGATCCCAACCTCTGGTGCCCCCTGTGTGTCAGTAGAACCGTGCTCCATAGGGTTTGGAAGTAGATCTTCAGGCCGTCTTTCCGAGGCCCTCTAGAGCAGGGGGTCTCCACCTTCCTCGTGCAGCCACCCATTCATACAGTGCCTCATGGTGGGGACCCCCAACCCTGACGTTATTTCCGTTGCTACTTCATCACTGTCATTTTGCTACCATTACGAATCGTCATGTAAATAGCCGAAAGGCAGGATGCATTTTCATTGTTACAAATTGAACATCATGAAAGCATCGTGATTCATCACAAAAACAATATGTAATTCTATATTGTGAGATATTTATTTCTAATGACAAATAAATGAAATTTTGTCTTGAAGCATGGTGTAGCATGGGTGGCAGTCTTCACATCAGGTACTCGTATGCGGGTGGACCTGCCTAAGGATGGATAGAGGAGCCGTGTCTCGGTTCCTAAGACCATCGGAAATGTGTTTTCGATGGTCTTACGCAACCCCTGTGAAAAGGTCATTCGACTCCCAAAGGGGTCATGATCCACAGGTTGAGACCCGCTGCTTTAGATGGACCACAGCTTGTGGGTTAGCAGCCAACCACATTAACTGCTTGTAAACCTCCACACACCCCGCGGCGCCCTCGTCCCGGACAAGGCTAATCATAGTCAGCACATTTACTGAGTGCTTCTGGCATGCTAGGGTCTTTAAATATATGCACTCATTTAATCCTTAAGGCAACCCTACAAGGTGAGGGCAGGTATTGTCTGGTCAGCCAGTGAGGAAACTGAGGAAGAGAAGGTGAGGGTACTTGCCCTTGGTTAGAACATTTCCCAAGGACGGTAGTCCTTTGTCAAGATTGCTTCAAGGGAGGGTCCTAGGCCAGGTGGTGGATGCTTTTCTAATGTGGGGACTTGGTGTCCTGCCCAGCTAAGCCTGCGGGTGAAGGCTTTGAAGCGGCAGGTGGATGAGGCAGAGGAAGAAATTGAGCGGCTGGACGGCCTGAGGAAAAAGGCCCAGCGGGAACTGGAGGAGCAGCATGAGGTCAACGAACAGCTCCAGGCCCGCATCAAAACCCTGGAGAAGGACTCCTGGTATGCGCGCGCGGCTCCACCGGGCAGTGGGGCTCTCCTTAAGAAGGGACTTTGCAGATAGTCACGGATTCCTGTCTCTTCATATCTCCCCATCATATAGGCCCCATCTTCGCCCAGTTCTCTGATTAGTTCGGGCATCGTGTGAGTAGCTTTAGGCCCTAGAAGAATTGGAATTTCTGTAGTGTTACAGGCTGAGCTGCAAACCCACAAGATCGGTCATTCCAAACCACCAGCTACTCTGAGGGAGAAAGATGAGGCTTTCTACTCCCATAAAGAGTGGCGGTCTCGGAAACCCACGCGGGCAGTTCTCCCCTGTCCTACAGGGCTGTTATGAGTCGGCATACCCTTGATGGGAGTGAGCTTTGTACTTTAGTATGAAAGGGATGGTGGCTGGTGCCTTCCAGACTTCTTCTACTGCCCCTCCCTTACCAGTGTCCCCCTCTACCTTGTTTTGTTTTTTTTAATCATTTTATTGGGGGCTCTTACAGCTCTTTTTTAAAAATCATTTTATTAGAGGCTCATACAACTCTTATCACAACCCATACATACATCAGTTGTGTAAAGCACATTTGTACATTCATTGCCCTCCCCCTCTCTCTTGACGCAGGCGCAAAGCTGCTCGCTCAGCTGCTGAGACAACCCTCAAACATGAAGGACTAAGCTCAGATGAAGAATTTGACGGTGTCTATGATCCCTCATCTATTACATCATTGCTTACGGAGAGCAACTTGCAGACCAGTTCTTGTTAGCTCATGGGCCACAAGGGCCCAGAAACCAGGCCTGAGGTCTAGTGTGGCCTGTCTTGTTGTGCCCTGTCTTGTGCACCTTGCTCAGCCTTGGATGGCTCCTTCCTATAGGTGGCTCATAGGAAGGGGCCTGATTGATGGTGGTTGAAAAAAAAAAAAAAAAGATCTGAGAGCTAAGCTGATGGATCGACTTTCCTTCCTCTGGAGGTGCAGGTATCTTAGGCCAACTAAGTCCTTCCTTAATTGCCCGCCCCTCCCTGTTCCCCCTCTTGGAAGGATGCTCAGCATATGGGCTGAGGAAGACAGCAGGATACGAGGGGATAGACGTTGCCATGTACATACATATATATATATATAAAGTTGTATTTCATCAGCTAACCTTAAAGGCTCAGGGAAATGCCCTATGTGATTCTGCTCCCTTGACTCCTCACACCCATTTCCCTCCCTCTCTGGACCGGGGCTAGGGGGGGCACATTGTGGGTCATGGACATGCTAATGTGATTCTACCCATTTCACATTTGCTTCTCTTTGCACAGTTGTGGGGCTGGTGAAGTAGTCCTCATACCCCTCCCCTTCCTCCCGGCCTTCAGATCCAAGGGACTCTTCTCCTCTCCCTTCCCATCTTCTCCATTCTACCTTCCCTCTTGCCTCTCAGTGCCTTAGCCAGGGTGAGACGATAAGGCTGCTCTTCTTGCCTTTTGTACCTGCACATTCATACCTCTCCAAAGACCAGTCTCTCTACAACATGGGCCTTCAGTCTTCCTTTGGCTGCCCCACTGACTGGCCCGGAAAACTCCTGGATTCTCTACCGAACAGCCCCTTCCAGGAGGGACTTCGGTTGGGCTATGATCGAGGGGGTGGGGTCCCTGGTCCTGTTCAGGGCTTCTGTCCCACCCCCTTCTCTGTCACTTCGGATGTGATTATAAGGTGATTATTCCTGGGAGCCCTAACAACTGTTTATATACATTCAAAAGCAAA